TATTAATAATAGGGTTTCCGATCGAGTTGTTTTATATAATTTTTTTCTTAGAGGACGACCGAGCACGAAGTTCTTAACTTTTTCTTTTAATTTGATTTGTCTTTATTTTAATGATGTTTGACTTCCATATGTTTCAAAGAGATTCCGTTGATTCCGTGAATTCGATATGCCGAAATGCGCTTAGCAAAGCAAGGGTGAAATGTAAATATTCAAAGAACCCGAAAAATGTAGTTTGCAAAACGTTCCTGTTTACTTTCTAGAACGCGTTTCCCTATTTATATCTTAGCTTAAAATAATCATTAATCTTTCCTTTACCATTTTCCAAAAACAGAACTTCCCTAGTTTGCTTCATTTTTATACGCGAGCGCCTTTCTCACCTACCATTTTCACAAACAAAATCGATTTTCACGATTTTCTCAAACTAAAGTGAAATTTTTTAAAATGAACATCAGTACGTTTATTTGGGTGTTATTCCACATCTTTGGACCAAATATGAATAAAATCTATTTTTTTAAACTTGGCCGCTGGATGTTTGATTTTTACAGACATTGCCTCTTATTATAAATTCTTTCTTGGAGTAGGCCGAGGCTGAGGTGGCCAAGCCCCCCTTTCGTGGCAACAAAATGGCAGCGTTTTAGGGAATATACAATCTTTTTTCCAAGTTGTGCAAAATCAAAAGTAATGCCAGTCTTTTTTTTGGTTTGCCCTTCTGGGGGCCCAAACAACATATGGGGGACTTAGGATTTATTAATTTGGGACACCCCCCTCCCTTACGAAATCCTGGCTTATGCCTCTGAAATTTTTGGGTTTGTTTTAATTACCTACAGGTTTGCTGAGAATTAAGCCATCATGATCCCAACTTTGAAGCCTGATGGAACTGAAGGAACAGCAATTCGTAGTTTGACAGTGAGTGAAACAACACATCTTCAGGGATGCATAGTTTGTTCTAGAGATGAAAATTTAAAATGTTTAATACAGCCATGGAAAAATGCAAGTGATGACCAAAATGCATTTTCAATGTATAAGTATATTTTTTACTCGCCAATAATTGATGAGAAATTTATAACCAAACAACTGAAAATGACTATCAGATATCCAAAGAATGGAACTAGGGATCATTATAAAAAGGAATATGAGTTGGAAGGAAATCTCAGTGCTGTTGTTGTTGACAAATTCCATTTATTTCTTTTCTGTGAATCTAAAAAGCTGAACGAATGCTCTTTTTTAAAGGAGCATAAAATTAATGGAATTAGGTTGAATCAACGCCTAGGAAAAATTATTTATGGATTAGGAAAATACAAAGACCATTCTTCCTTCATCAAGTTGGAAATTAAAAAATGTGATGATTCAAGTGGTAATGAATATGAGGTTCAGAACAGAGAGGATTTTGAAAAGCTGTGGGATGCTGGACCAATTTTGATGGACGAACATACTTTAGTGGGGTCATTCGTAAAGGTTAAAGAGGAAAGCTGCAGAATCTCTTGTTATATGTTTGAAACAAAAGGTATGTTAAAAAATTTATTGTGGCCCATTATTTAAGAATTTTCACAAGAGATATACATGGAAAAACTGTGAAAAAGTGACGTAAACTCCCAGTTATTTCAAGCTCTTCTGGTTATATCAAACCCCCACCCCAGTTCAGACGACTTATCTGCTAATGCAAATATCCTTCCATTTATAAGCCGCCCGGTTATAAGACCACCTGATATTTTGCATTCATTTTCGTTAATGAAACGTAAGAAATTAACTGGGGACATAAGAGATCTAGAAAACAATATTGGTCTCCTCTTAAAACTGTTTTCCTTGCTGTTTAATGATTAATTTTAGAGCCCTACCCCAAATATAATATATACTTAAGGCTCCACTGATGAAAAGCCCATCAAAATAACCAGCTTATGAATGAGTATGGGTTATAGTATAGATAGGCTTATAACCAGAATTTTGCAGTATGCTCAAAATGGTAAGGGACGGATCAGTTTTTAGCTGGGAGGGGGGGCTGGTGGAAAAGAGAGTGACCCCTCATAACTTTCTGGCAGTCCCCCTCCAAATCAACGAGTGTTTTTTTGGCTGCCCTCCCCCATTGCCATACCTAGAAAAAAACGTAAGTTGAAGCATTTTGTTTGCCTGGCCCCTTTGGAGCCTAAATTTTCCCGATGCCCCCCCTCAATTCCACCAGCCCCTCCTCCCAGCTAAAAAATGATCTGTCCCTAATCGGTCATCATGCCCACTCCCTATCCAGCCCAACCATCATGCTCCCTATATATATGTGTGTCATATTTGAGTAAAATCAATAAGGTGAAGTATTCGTCATGTGAATTATAAAGTTCAAAAAACACTTTGAAGTTAAGTTGAAGAATTGAAGCTAGGAACCAAAGCAAAGAACTTTGATTTTATGTTTAATTTTCATTTTGTAAATCATTCCTTCTACTTTCTAGAAAATATTATTGAGGTTTATATTTTGTGAATTTCTTGAGGCTGTTTAATATAGAACGAGAATGTTTGTCTTATACGGGGGCATATGGTCTGGGCTAGATGGTAAGGTAGCATGCCCGGGGGGGATTCCCTTATAAAAGGGGGCGGGGGACCTCGTCGGAAATACCAAAAATGACCCCTAAAAGGGATCTGTATTTGAGATGATGGGTGTGGCAGTGATGAAATTTTATTCCTAAGAGGGACCAATCAATCACACATTTTTTTGTTTGGTTTCTCGATTTCATTTGCATAAAACGCTGTCTGCTCTAACAAATTTATGACGATAATGTCATATACAAATCGCTTGCCTTTTTGTAGATCTTATACCCTAAAAGGGACCACAAAGTTCAGTTGGTGCGCATTTCCGTCATTATCACCCTAAGCGGGACAAAAACCCTGATTTCAAACTCTAAAAGGGATGATGAGGACCCCTGCTCCCTTTCATAGTCCCCCCCCCCGCGGCATGATGACTGTAAACCCTCAAAATTAGCGCTATTTGAATAGTCATATTACTTTTTTTACATGCAACCTTTTAATTATTATCTTTACTCTAATGTTTTCAAAATATTTTCAGTCATAATGACTTATAATGGGTTATGGATTTTGCGTATATACTTACGAATTATTTATTATTCTTTTAAGACAACACAGTCAATGAAGTCAATAAGAAAAAGCCACCTATCACAGGAAAACCCCCAATAGAGAACATGGATTGTTATGACAATGTAGAACCAATCTCATCATCAACATCAGATGATAGTCATTTTCCTGATCAAAGTAAGTATTTTAATGAAACTGAGCTATGATATCTCCTATGGGAGGGGGGAATTGTGAAGTAGTGACAGTTACTGTCATGTAAGGGCCAGGATTTGAAACTGTTTTTAATTAATCAAAAAAAAGATTTTTTTGTGAAAGATGATGACTCCTTTTTTTCAAAGCCCCCCTCCGATTTGAAGAAATTGTAAATGACCCCCCTTATCTATTATAATTTTTTATGCTGACCCCCCCCCAAAAAACTGTATGATGATTGATGATTGGCAATTTTTATCCAAGTTTAAGCTCTTCATGGCAGCTATTTTCACCAACATTATGCACTGTTTGAATAGCAGTGTTATTTTGCTGCTGTGCTCAAAAATATTTGTTTATTTAATGAATTACTATGAACTACAAACATTATGAAGGTTTTGGTTTTTATTACTTCACCAATGTTGTCAAGAAGCAAACCCACAACCCCAGGGTAAACTACGAACAGACTCACTAAGAGACCTACAGTGTAGTGAATGCCACCCGGCCATGTTTCACATTGGTTGATAAATTTTGGAAGTTTTTTTCAATGTGCTTAAGGGACAGGCGTAGACTCAGTTTGTTCCATTAGGAGCTAAGAGGTCCATGGTTTGATCCTCAGGATCTTCATGTCTGGTTTGCTTTTTCTCTGTTCTGTGTAGCTTTAGATTTAAATACCTCTGATAATGAGCATTGATAGTCTGAGGGGGGAAAAGAGTACACCTTTGAGGGGTTTATACATTGAACTCCTGGCTCGGGAGAATTGGGTAACCACTCCTGTGTTATCGAAGTAAAATAATTTTGCCTTAGTTGTACAAGTTACCATTTTCTTTTTGTAGATGTGTTATCAAATTTAGGAAATATCACCTTGAATAGTTCTCGAAGAAATACATGAAAAATGCCATTAATAATAATATAATAATAATAATAATAATAGTTTATTTATCCACATAACGCCTAGGAGCATTTCACATACTCGTTTAAAATGCGCACGTGCACTAATCTATTAAGAAATAACCTAAATTAAAGTGATATAAAATATAATATATATAT